GGGGTACATATTCATATATTCGTGTTCTGCATTATCAATTTCTTTTGAAATTTATTGTTTTTACGGTCTGTGAATACGAATATATGAATATGTCCCCCCCCCCCCCCACTTATCGAGCTGGCTACGCCATTGCTTGAATTGTCTGGAATCTTTCACGAAGACAGACAGTATCCCAAATATGGCGGATTTTGGCTTTCGTGAGAAAGGCGAATTTAGCATTCTGGATTAAATTTTGCTATTTAAATGTTTTAAATCGTACTCCTATATAATCAGATAAGATATCGTTTAATAAGTATATTGATTGTATGTGAACTCGAACAGAATGGAAAACAAAATATTTTTATATTCTATCTTGTTATACCAGTGGTAGTGGTATATTCATTTCACTACAAACCTCCTTAATACATTTTAACAAAACGTTCATATCTTCAGGATATAATTGTCCAATGTTTCCTATTCTAAAGCAAGCAGCTTGACTGACTTTGCCAGGGTAAATTACTTGACCTTTTTCGCTGAGCCGTGTGTAGAAATCTTCAAAATCAAAATTTGGATGGTCAGGATAGTAGAACGAGGTGATGATGTAGCCTTGGTCGGAATCTTTGAGTAATTCTTTAAAACCCATCTCTTTCATTCCAGCTTTCAATATTTTCCTGTTTTCTTGATACCTTAAACATTTGAAAACAAATCTAAGCTACAACAGGTTATCTAGTACCATGACATTAAATTAAAATGTCCAATACAAAACCCATTTTCAGATTAAAATTACTCAATATTTCGTGAAATGTATTTGGATTATCTTTCCAAATCTATTACGGACTTGTGCTTTCATATTCATAAAGTATCAATATCAATATCATTACCTTTAACAGACTTAATACGCATTTGATTGGTTAATCAGGTAGAATAAATGCATCTCATTGGTTAATGGTAGAGGTAGTGGAATTCAAAATCTGAACTTCTCTAGTATCAGTTACAAGGGAATAGAATGAAATAGAGCAAATGCATGTTGCCAGAAAATTGTAAAATGAACAGTTTGCTGTGTCCACTGTAAGTTCCTTCAGTGTTTAGATCAGAGAGGTCTATACAGAATACTTTGAAAAATACATTGTACTGTATATAGCCTATGAATAGTTAACTCAATGGGATTCAAATTTTGAAATTATGTAGTACAGTACCATTAGTCATTCACAGTTTGGTATCCAAAACCAAATTTTAGTATCCTGTGGACAAGGGTGGGTAGTAGCGAAGTAGTTGTAGTTCGCTACTGTAGCGAACTACAATTTTCAAGTAGCCAGTAGTTTTTTACTACTTTTTTAAAACAGTAGCTGTAGTTATAGCGAACTACATTTTGCCTAAAAGTAGCCAAATAGTTGACTACTTTTCAAACAGCGAATCGCTATTTGCTACTTTTCAAAATTGTTAGCAACTTGATAGAATAGCATGATATTGAGACATGGTTTGCTTAAAATCAATACTCAATAGTCAATTTGCACTCCTGAACACTGTAGTGCTTACAAAAATGTTAATTTGTGTTTATTGTTGCTACTCGTAAGTCGATTTGTTATAGGTTACATTTCAGCCAGAGACTCTGAGTTAGTAGATGCTCTAAATACAGTAAAACTAAAAAATATGGCGTAGCGAAATAGTTCGCTACATTTTTTAAGCAGTAGCTGTAGTCAGTAGCGAACTACCTTTGTTCAAAAGTAGCAGTAGTTGTAGCTGACTACATATTTTTGAAGTAGCTGTAGTTATAGCGAACTACAGAAATTTTGTACCGGGTGGGGCAAAAAAAAGTACGACTGTTTGATTTACTATGACTCAAAAACTAAAAGAGCTATTACACTTAAATAAATCACCCTATATTCCGTGATGTTTAACCTAGATTTTGATATATGTCTGGTGCATTTTCATGCGATTATGACTGAGATAATTGTGTTTAAACTTACGCAAACATTTTTGGAAACGCCAATAATTAGCTGAAAAGCCCCTATTAAACTAATTCAATAACCGTTACGATTTGTTCGCGATTATTGTTTCAATGAAGTGAAGTCGAAGTTATAGAAATATTTCTTCATTCACAGACATTTTATTTTTTGTTTTACAATGTTGGGCAATGGATGTGAACTTATAAGGCCGATTTTATTAAAAGTTTTGTTCCTAGAAGGTATCCGATACCCGTGGGATAGGTAGTCTGTATGTTCTAATGAGTCTAGAACGAGCTGTCCCATTTCACGGGCAAGATGTTGCAATTGTGCCGGGGGACATGAATTTGCTGATGAATAGATGATTGCTTTTGAAGAACAAGCGTTAACATACTGACTATAGAGTATAACGCGTCTTAACACAAGTTGTTTTTGTAGATAAAGGTATTAATATTTAATAGGCCGTTTTTAGCTTAATTCTCTCAGTTTCAAAAATGTTACTCTTGTTCAAATGCACGTATCTTTGTCAATATGGCATGGAAATGTGCATGGCATATATCAAAATTTAAGTTAGACATCGCTGAATGCCAATAAACGTGTTTTATTGTCATTGCTCTTTTAGTTCTGATGTTATACCAATTCAAAGAGTCGTACTTTTTTTTGCCCCACCCGGTAGTCAACCCACCCTTGCCTGTGGATATCAGGATACTGGAAATTTCAGACATAGTCATATCTCTAAAGGCCGATTTACACTACACAAGTTTGCCTAAAATTGTCGCATGCAACCTGCTTACAACTTGAATTGTACTGTGTAAATCAAGCATACAACTCACCTACATTGTCGTAAGTGAGCTGTGTGCTTGATTTACACAGTATAACTCAAGTTGTAAGCAGGTTGCACGCGGCAGTTTTAGGAAAAAGTTGTGCAGTCTTACTTGGCCTTAACTGCTTAAGGATGATTACTTGTACCTTTGAGATCTCCCTGTAACACCGCCCTCTTCGTTCTGAATCTCAATTGCTTTTCTGAATGCCATCAAAACATGAGTCGGAGGAGTAAATCTAAACTGTCCATTCGCTCGAAATCCTTTGTATTGTGCCAGGGCATCTAAACTAAGACTTCGAGCATTTCCTTCGCATTGCAATAGCTTGTCAACATTTGCCAAAATGAATGAGAACCCCGGAACGCCCTCTGTGCACTTGTTGGCTGAACTGACAAGAAAATCGATGCCACACTTTTCAAAGTCGATCGGAACGGCAGCAAAACTGCTCATAGCATCCACAAAGAATGCTGCATTTGGGGCATGTTGACGAATGACCTGGCCGATCTTTTCTATTGGGTTGAATACTCCTGTTGTGGTTTCACAATGAACCATTGCAACATTTGTGATTGATTTGTCGTTGATCAAAATTTCTTCGACTTTTTTCACATTTGTTGCTTCCGTTTCAATATCTTTGTGGATAATCTAGAAAGATTTACAAAATGCAAATTTGTGAAATTGTTACAACTTATCAGAAAAACAAGTGAAGGCTGCTATTCAATGAAAGAATGGTATGAAAAACATTTCTTTAGAGTAAGAAGAAAAAATTATTGAAATGTCAAAACATCTGTAGTAAGCACCATTACTTTAATAGAAGGCTCTCCTTTAAAAATAGTCTTACAAGTGTAACTTGGACAAAGTAAAATAATCTGGTGGAGCCAAAGAAAAATAATACGAAAGAGGATATTAGGGCACGATTTTTTCATGAGTAGTAATACCTATCTACATGCTGAAATAATGCCCAAATGTCAATGGATTCAAAGCCATATCAGTTAGATGGTTATGGCTGTCCCATATTATAGAATCATATACTCCGATTCACCAGACTATAATCTCCATTTGGCTTAATAATTTATAATAACATTATATAATTAGTAGCTTAAGTTCAACCTCGTTCCCAGGGCTTTCGTGTGAGGATGAGAGGAGAGTCTCTCCTCTCGTCCTCACACGAAAGCCCTGGGAATGAGGTTGGATTAAGTTTTCTCTGGGGAGAGGAGTTTCCCTGCTGCCCCCCTCCACTTGCTTGAAGGCCATGCACATGTTGTTTAATTGGTTAAGTAGGTTAACCTATTAAGCT